AGAGTTTCCTTTTGCTTTCCTAACTAAAGACACACAGTTCTCACACGCATTTCTTTCGCTCACTACGCGAGCTATGTAGCCCCCAACAAGTGGTGTGGCTGCCATATCGGGAGTCGGCAAAAAAGGCTTCGATGACAAGCAAACTTCTCGCAGAACTTGTTGCGCCCTTTTGGCGTTCGCACAGACAGCTGCTGTGCTGCCCCTCACTTCACTTCCACTAACAGCCCGGGAAGAGCAGAAGGAAGTAGAGCTGTTGACGTTGCTTCTGTCGGATGATGCGACTATTCCTGTCTTCAAAATTTTTTCTAGTCCAGAAACAGCACTTCTCACATCCATGACGTCATTGCAACCGGCAGTCCTTCTTAGAAATCTAAACAATGATTCTATTGGATTGCTTGAGAATTTCCTTGTGAGTACAAACGTGAAGTCGCACTCATTCAGCAGAAACTGTATGCATTGCACGTTGGAAACTGTGGTGAAAACTAGGGCATGGTAGGTTTCCTTGGTGAGAAAATTTTCGGGTGAGCTAGCTTCCTTTAGCATTTCGATGTACTCGAGAAAGACGAGCTCCAGCCAGTGAAGTCTGGGATCTTCTGCGTCTGAAAACTGCCTAGTGTCAGGGTTGTTCTGGTGGATATGCTGCTCACAGTTGCTCACATCCATTAGAACAAACCACCTGTACATGTTCGTCATAAACTCCACTGTAGGTGCAACATTTGCAAACTTGGTATCACATGTGTGCCCTGCTTGGTCCTTCAAGAAGCTCAGAGCAGCTGTTACAGGTGGTGAAAAAATTTGGATTGCTGTTCTTACACCCATCTTCTCAATGTTTGTCGGATGGATATACATGTTTTCTTGTGAGAAAACGGACTGGTTTGACCAAGGAGCCTTGCTGCATCCTGTATAGGTCCTTAAGGTAGACAGCAGATATTTTCTGTTGACATGCAATTTGTTTTGACAAGAACTGGGAGCGAATGTTTTTGATAATGTGACTCTGATCAAAGGCTAAAAACAGGTACCTTGAAGGGTCAACTGGGTGGCGTATCTTGGTTTGAAGATGCCCTTGTGACATCTTCTCCATTGCTGCAATGTTGACTTTGTGGTTGTCCGTTACTAGGCGTACAATTCTGAACCCCACCTCTTCTGTCTTCCTAATAACGTGCTGTACTGTCTTAGCAAGCAATTCCCCGGAACACCCTTTCGTAAAAAAGTATTCCACTGGAATCTTGAAGCTTGCATGTAGTGCACAGAGCAAGAAGCACAAGAGGGAATTTGCAAGCTGACCCTTATCAGATGCTAGCAAAAGATGATTGAGGTCGGCACTCAGGTCAATGTCTCCAAGAAATGCATCTCGTTGCTTGTGGTACTCAAGCTTCTGTCGAATGCGCATTTCATCTACCACGAGACTACATAGTTTTGATTGGGGTGTTGTGAGACATTCCAGCTCTGCACTCAGCCTTCTCTTGATAAGTTCACTAAATCTAACCTCTCCTGATGAACTTCCGAGGTATTTCCTCAGAGTATTTCTGCACGGAAAGGAGAGCAGGTTCTCAGTTCTCATATGTTCGTAAGATTTCGCTGAGAGGTGGTGCAAAATGGTACATTGCCTAATAGTTGTTTCTGACCATATAGGCTTCTTGGCCTTATAATTAATCACTTGGTCCAAAATAATTTTGGCCTTCGTGCACGCAAGCTCCGAGTCTCTGACGACGTTAAGAAATTTGCTGATGTGGCACTCCTTTTTCAATCGTTCGAGCTCCTTCTTGTACGTGTCAACCGTTGAACGCAACCTCTCATTCTGTGGCTTTAAGACCTTTTCTTTCTCACGCCACTTTTTGCTCTGCAAGAAAGCCGCTGACGAACTTCGCTCATTAGCCTGCGTGCCAAATGACCTCATGGCGTATGCGGCCTGGCCGGCATGTAGCAGTCTATCTACGCTATTTGGATCAGGCCGAATTTTCGCTGGCACGGGACGTGCAGCATTGTTGCATGAAGTCTTGAGAGGCGACGCTGCTGTTGTCAGACACGGGCACGTCCACGCAATAATTGGACAACATTGAGTCCGACACATTCTGCTGCGTTGAACGAACATGAGTGAGGTTTTCAGACGCGCCATTGGAAGCTGATTTCGTCGGTGAACATTCGTGTTTCCTTTTTGCAATGGTTCTCTCACCTTGCGGCTTCGACGGTGCTGGCCTGAGGTAAGAAGGGTATTGTGGGAAAACACTGGGCACAGTACCTGGCTTCAGCATGCGTCTCTTGGTGTCCTCGCGAAAGTCCGCATCGAGAAAATTAAGGCTGCAGACAGCTGAGTAGTTGGATGTGGAATTTGGCTGCCAGTCCTTTCTTGATATAACTTTCAGCCATTGTTCCCGGAGTGTTGCATCTGCAGGTATCTCGTGGAACGAAACGCCAGGCTGCTTCTTGCGCTGGCTCGAGGTGCAAAAAGGCACGCAGCAGTATCGCATGGCTGGGCTTCAGCTGCGGTTATTAGATCGAGCTCCGAAGAGGCAATACGCGCGATAAAAAGTAGCACGTGGCACCCTGAGAAAAAAATGACCAACAGCATTAGCGCTCACTCCGAACGGGCTACCGCAAAGACTGCGCGGGCGCTCGCCTGCCGGCAAGGCGCACGATAGTGTCGAAACACAGCGCCGCGGCGCGGCGGTGGCGTGCGTAAACGGGAGAGGGTCGCGCGGATAGGGTCGCGCCGACGCGCCAGGCATCTCAAAGTATAGGAGGCGTTGACTCGACTCACCCGTGCATCTGACCTCCTTCTCCCCTTCAGCTCCGCGCTGGGGCCTTGTTTGCCGGCAGAGATTGTGGCTTTTTTTTAAAGACGATAGTCTTTCTTTTGGACCTTAAACACAAAAATTTTGGTCTGTCTGTCTGTCTGTACATTTGTTTGTTTGTTCGCCCTTAATGGTATTCTAAACCACACCAGAGCGGCCAAACGATACTCCAAACGGCCGACCTCATCCGCAGCGCCCACCAGTATTGCTCAAGATACAGCGTTTGTACTTGTGTGATGGTCAATGAAGAAGCACTTATTGCGCATATCTGAGGCAGCATAACAACACGTCAGTATTCTGTATGTGTGTCTCTTACTAGAAAAAGCATTACAGAAAAAGTAATTCTGAGGACCGTAGCGTTAATCACGTTGCACTGACCAGGCAACATTTGCACGAAAAGGCAAGTGTTTCCAACGCTTTGCTATGCCGACATGGTGGTGGCACCTACCCTTCGCCTTGCATTCTCACCTCCGAGAGGGCCGCGCAGGGCGCGCGCGCTTCGTTTTCTAAGATGACTGCCAGAGAGTGCTCATGTCTCACGTGTGACGTGACTTGATGCGCTCGTTCACCTCCGCAGCATGCTCGAGGCACTCTTAACGCAGTAGCTCCAGAATACCATTTACCGATTTTCTTGTGCAGAACAGCAAATAAACGTTTTGTTCACTTTCTCCAGATGCAAGATTATTGTCTTTCGACGACATTTGCAGTGTCACATGCAGATACGAGGCCACTTTTTTTTTTGTCGTTCACTGTGGAAGAGCAAAACGACCTCTATCAGTTTCCGCCGCTAGACACGAGATGGACAATGGCAGCGGCAAACGTAAGCGCAAAAATATAACAATCGAGCAGTAGTCAGCAATGTTAAAAGCCCTTGAGTCTGGCATCAAGAAAAAAAAAAAAAAAGGTGGTCGAAGATTTCGGCTATGTGTGGATGCCGCGGGCGACTAGGCCCTTGACGTTGTGGGATGCTCTCTTTGACGCCGGCGTTGTGCCTGACTGCAACAATATCTGGATGTACGTCGGTGCCGATGATGGCGCGGTGACAAGTGAAGAGTTGTTAGATTTGCATTTTCGCATGTTCAGACCTCGCATTTTCAGACACGCAAATGCAATTTCATCTTTAAGGCCTGGTAATATTGCAGTCACCCTAACTAGACCACGGAGAAATCTCAGAGAGATATCATAGAAAAACACCGCATCCTGTTCAAGTCAATTAAGCTTTGCTATCGCTACTACATAAAAAACTTAACTTTAATAATCAACTGTAAACACGCACCTTGGTTGTTAGTCTTTTTGTACCTCTTTATGACATGCGTGATGCACCCCCATTTTCTTTCATGTATCAGTTAACACGCGCAATGGCCTTTTAATCGTGAGTGAGCGTTTTCGGTGCATATTTATTTCCCGGTCCTACTTCTTTCTTTTTGCACCGATGGCTTTATTCCAACCACCAGTTACAGCGCCAAGGGAAGTTGGCTTTGCATATGCTACGAGCGGCACGCAGTGGTCTAGTACATGTATTTTATTTTACGAAATTGCGCTTATTTTGAGCACTTTTTAAATACCAGAACCGAACAACTTTTAGTCATAAACAGCGTCAAAAGACATTGATTCCTAATGCATCCGTGAATTTATAGACAGTGCTTGCACCTTTTAGTACACCAAGTTTTGCTGTTCTTTATGCTGAAGGTGGACTAGCACTAAAGGATAATAATAACTAACTGATGCTTCTGGTAGAACAGGGAGACAAGTGCAAATTGTAGACACACTGAAGTTTCTGAGTAAATCACACGGTAATTTATCACTCCTTGCTGAGTTCACTTGACCTGAGAAGCGCCGGCACGGTGTAAACGAAAAGTTGAAGTGTAAGACCCGGGCGCTTGTCGCGGCGGTTGCTGCGACATACTTTTTTCATAAGCGCCGGTTGGCAGTGCTAGTGTGCTTGAAAAAGGTCTATTGACACATTGTGGATGGCTCCAGAGGCTGACTGCATTCTGGTCACCTGTCTATGACCAATTGAGTGAACATTCATTTTTCACTTACCATATACTCGATACAAGATCTCATTTCTTTTCTTACCGCTTTTCCTACTGCCTTTATTCTTGTGTGATTTTCACATCCAAGTCACTTGTACGGCCGGCTTTGGCTTTGATAATGAGACATGGTAGTGTGAATCATTTCTGTGGATGGTGTGTCACACTTGTGCAGGTGAATGTGACAATCTGGGACGTGAACGACAATGCGCCCCACTTCGAGAGTGCAGTGCTCAAGCTCAGCTTGCCCGAGAATGTAGCAGTTGGCACGGCGACGTACGTTGCTCAGGCTCACGACGCCGATGCAGGCCGGAACGGGGCAGTGCGCTACACGCTACTTGAGGCACCTCCGGGCCTCTTTGAACTCGGGCCTCGATCCGGGCGGCTTGCCTTGCTTCGGTCACTGGACTACGAGACGCAACCTCGTCTGCGACTTGTGTTGGGGGCTGCCGACGGGGGCACTCCAGCCCAGTCTGCCTCTATGACATTGCTGGTGGAGGTGCAGGATGTCAACGACAATGCCCCAGTGTTTGACCAGCCGGCGTACAGTGTCAGCGTGCTAGAGTCCTTGCCAGCCAACTCTCATTTCCTCCAGGTAAGGCTGGGTGGGGGGCACAAGTCAATGTTATGTGACATTAGCACAATCATAATGAAAACCAGCAGATGAAGTCCAGGAAGGTATAGTGGACGTTAACTGTACAATTTTAAGGAGTCAGTCGAGCTTGGATATAACGAACCTGAGTATGACGCGGCACCTGTTAGCTCTATCCCGAAGTTTGTAGTATACAAAAGAAAGCTTTAAGATCGTTGCAAGTGAAAACAGGATTTTTTTTCTGCAAGAAAAGTCAGTAATTCACGCGTAGGAAGAGCAGAAGCAATTCAGATGGTTTTGAGTTTATTTAAAGTGGCAGCGTGCTTTTCGCCAAGGTCCTCGGCACACACAGGCTGCCTGAGGCTATAAATGTAGCCAACTGGCTGCAAAGTTTCGTCATCATCATCATCAGATTCCTCTGAATCGCTCTAGCCGTGCACTTCATTTGCAATGCCCTAATCTGTGTACGGTTCTGCACTGTCAGCATCATCATTGGCCCTAATGTAATCATGCCAGAAGATGCCACGCCCTGCCTTGGAGTCGGCAATGCGCAGCCACAAATCCCCACCAGAGTGGTCCTGTTCCAAAGCTTCAAGCACGGCATCAGGTTCAATGTCAACGTAGTCGGCCTCGTGAAAACAGTTTCGCACACATGTAGTTGTGACCACGGTGTTAGAAGCATTTTAGATTGACCGATGGCGCCTCCGGAAGCGAAGAAGTTCTGTCCCCGTTTTGTGGAGAGGACCCAAGATGGCACCACAGTGATCGTGGCTCAGGCATAGGTCACTTCGGGGCCACGAAAGCAACTCGAAAAAAAAAAAAACAAAAAACAAAAACAAAAAACGTATGCCTTCATTCGATAACAAGTGCAAAAGTAAATAAATTAATAAAAGCGGTGAACAAATACTACATTTTGACGCTACAGTGTAGATAACTGTGGAAAATGTTTAATTCACCACATCGAAGGTTCGCGATAGGAGCATATGTTTTCGTATGCACAAACGCCAGATCGTAAATTCAAACACGTGACGATGAAGTCCTATGTAATTATGACATAAGTTAATTCTTGGTTGAAGTAATCTTTGCATGGTAGTTAGACAAAAAGAACTTGTTAGTCGAAGTTTTGCAGTAGAAAAATGTCATTTCGATTTTTGTCGCGGTGGTCGCATTTTGATGAAGCAGGCCTGAGTGCTGTGCGATGAGAAGCGTGTGGACTTGAGCTTCTTGGTACATATTTAAAGTAAAAAAATTGCGTGAAAAACGAAAAACGAGACAGAAGAAACATCATTTTGCGATGCCAGTGCACGTTACAGAATACCATATGGTCGAAAAGTTGGAGCCTTTCACTACAGTGTGCCTCATATTCATATCGTGGTTTTGGTGCATAAAACCACAGATATTTTCATTGTTAATAAGCTTAGTTCTCGCTCTGGGAGAGAACGGCACATGTAGGTCTATAGAGATTTTTCAAAGCAAGAAGCAACTCCTAACTCAAAAACAGCACATTTTATTATGGCGATGTAGAGATGCATTTCTATATAAATGACCACAAACAGAATAGGACAGCACTTCAACTCAAAAGGAAAGCACTATTGAAGACACGTGTGAAAAACGAAAGCTATGCATTTTGACTTCGAAGTAGCAGCTTCCTGGACTAGTTTAGAAAGTTTGCACAACTTTTGAGATTTGTTTTGCCTCATTCTTTTTCATTTGTTTGCAATATTGGCGCATACACCTTTTTACATAATAGTAGAGCACTTGTGCCATCATGTCTACTTTATTTTCCTTGCATGGAAATGAGAGGTTGTAGCTATCTAACACAGTCAATAGTCAAATCATAGACTTCCTTATCGCCGGCCTGCTTCTGAAATTCTCGCTCAGTTTCTTTAAAGAGATCAAATAGCGCAACTATAAGGTGCGTGAATCCTTCTCTTGTCTTCAGAACTACAAGAGCTGCTGCAGCTCTTGACATATCAAATGTCACAGTCAGTCCAAGCTTGCACTTGGAACAATTTGTATTTTTTAGGAGTTTTTGGCAAAGAAACCTGTATACATAATAAATTATGCAGTCGGTAACGCTGTCTGATGCAGGCATTGAAATGAATACATCGTCGCACTCAATCTCATCTTGCACCGATCCGTTAAGCCTGTTCTTAAGCTCATCTAAGCGTGACTGGCTGCCCAGATCCTCCTTGAAAGCTGATGTTGAATCAGCCAGGCTAAGGAGTCGTCGCTCTTCACTAGGAAGTAACTGGCAATTCCCGTACTTAGGTGGCTTTACGATGCCGTAAATGGATAGCATGCTGTATAATTGCAAGAACGTCTGCAAGCAGGGATGTTCATTTTGGCCTCCAGCTTGGCGTAGAACTAAAAAACTTTTCCAAAACCTCTTCGTTAAATTTTACTGTTACCACATATTTGAAGTCGTATTTCTTTAACAAGTAGTTTGACAGCTGAATTGTCGACAAAATAGTCACTCGCAAGTCCTCAGCAGCGGTTCACGCAAAAAAAAAAATTATGAGGATCGATCCGTCCTGCCTTCACCTTTTCCTCCCAATTATTGAGCCATTGTAGAAAGGACTCTAGCACATCGAATTCCTTTGTCCCCTAATCTTAGACCTTTCTTTGGTGGTCTGTGATTCATGGCATCAAAAATGTTGTCAATTCGCACTGTGAAATCGTCTTTTTTCGTAAATGGGCGTTCTAGCCAGATTTGCACCGGGGCACAAAACACTTCTTTCCCATTTCACGACTTGCTCACACAACAGCATGGACTCTCATCGTGCACACACACAAAAAAAACAACGAAAACAATAGTGCAACGTGACGACAACTGCTTTGTCGGAACAACACCGTGGTCTGAACGCACTGCTCGCCACTCGCACAGCTGTGAGCCATGTGGCTGCTCCTGCTATCTCGCGGCATGGTGGAGTGGAGGAACCAAAGTTAAGTGCAGTGAGTGCGTGGCGGTGGCGCTTAGTTGTTGCAACTATAAGGGAGACCCGCTCAAGTTTGCCCGCCGACGCCAGCACTTGCCCTTCCACTGCCAGAAAAGGTGCACACTAGTAGCGTGTAGCGACCCTTCCACTCCCTTTGGCTTCCATGCATTTGCGAAGCGCGCGCTGCATGTGATACCCCCCTTGTTCCGTGATGTCACCCCAACAGAAAGGGGGGAACTATTGCTGCGTCGTCAACTGTCACATTAGCCATGCAAACGCGAAGGGGTCGACTCCACCAGTGAAATTCTACCGATTCCCAAACAGATGGTATGAAAAAAGCAGACGACAGGAATAGATTAAAGCAGTGCGCCGAAAAAAGTAAAAAAAACAATTCTTTAAATAAAAATTAGCACGTGCACAATGCATTCAACATAACGGGTGTTAATTCCTGCGTCACCATTCCCCTTATCTATCGAGTTACTGGGAGACGGATGTCCCCATCTTAAAAGTATAAGTTACCATAATACTTTCAACTTCCGTCTTTAGAGCAATGTTAAAAAATTGAAGAAATGTGTTTATGCTGCTACTATTATTCGATATTCTTGGGGACGTACTAGTTGAAGCTGTGTACACATGTGGTATTGGTGATGTGTGGTTATATATTTTTTATATCTACGCAGCGTCGGCGGAAATGTGTGGTTGCCAAAAGCTTAGACAATGATTTGTGGCAGACATTTTGTCGGAAACTGCAAAAATGACTCAAGTCTGCACCCGTCGTATGTGCCGACAGTGTTTCTAGCGGCTTGCAATAAACGGGCACCTCACGCAGAAAGGGCGCAGAGGTATGATAGGCAGTGAAGCGCATAACTATCTATGCATTTTAAAGCATTTTCTGAGGACCCTTGCGCCACTAAAATCTACTATCATCATCATCGCTATCGAGTGAGGCTAGTTTAGCTGTGCTATTCGAGTAATTAGAGTGTGTTAAATGGGAAGTAACAGGGCTCAGCGAAGTTAGGAGGACACATGAGGATACAGTGCTGAAGAATGGACATGTCCTGTGCTACCGTGGATTAGTTGACAGAAAAGAACTAGGAGTGAGGTTTCCCATGCACAATAATATAGATGGCAACATAGAAGAATACTATAGCATCAGTGAGAGGGTGGCAAGTATCATAATTAAGGGGGGAAGAGGGTTTTAAATTTTTTTTTTATATTTCTTGACCAAATTCAATGAAAATTGTAACCCAGACAGAGTTTTTCAAGCTGATTTCAAAAATATAATTGCTTTTGAAATTGGTTGGCCAGTTGCAGAGATAATTAAAATTAATCCTATATTGTTTATCAGAACAATGGAAAGGCAATTATTGGCCAGAATATTAATATTGACATATGGCTAGATACTATGAAGTGTAATTAACACAAATGTAGGATTACTTTTTTAATATTACAAGTATTACCAATTTTATAGCAATTTGAAGTTTAATCTCCAGATATCTCTATCAAGCGATTAAATTAGTACCAAGAATAAAAATTTAGAAAGACTAGATTGAAAAATCTGTTCCTACATTTGTGTAGGAGACATATGTAGCTACATGCCACCACAAGAATTGTGGCTCTATGTGACCTCAAGACCAAGATATCGCTTTGGCAAGTTTCAAAAACATCGAAAATGACATTCTGAGAAAACGTCAAAAAACAAAATAGGCTCATATTTAATACAGAAAATCACAAACTATTTACAATGTTCACAAATGGCCTAGCATCAGTACCCTCCAGGAACATAGTCTGTCTGTTTAGAGTCATTTCGGTGTTGTTTTCGTAGCACACGCTGCAAGTTTTCTGCAGAAGCATGCTTGCGTGCGCATGCTTCAGCACGGTGGCGATCTTTTTCACTCATGCGCTTGGTCAACTGTTGGCCAGGGTTTAGCTGAAGTTCTTGAAGTATGGCTGTAGAAGCTTTTTCATACCCAGAATTGAACTTCATTACAGCCTCTGCCACAGCAGCTTGCACAGCAAACAATGATGCATGTTTCTCCTTCGGCGCCAGTGCCCAAATAATTG